GGAAAGGAGAAAAGATCTGGGCCTTCTTGCAGGCAAAAAGTGATTTTAATAACAAGTTTAACACCCAGAGTACCTCCAGCACACACATAAACACCATGCAGGCCCTGAGACAGAAGCAGAGATGAATATTTGCATCTTCAATGTTCTCTGCAACCAGGGTAGCAGACAGGGAACCATCCCAATGATGCAATTAGCAGAATTGTAGACCAATTAGTAAACACTTCATTGTTTCACATCACCCCAAATAACAAGACAGAGCAACTACCTCTGCCTACAATAGCAGCACCTCCCCAGACTGTGCTCTCAGGCCTAGTTCTCACAGCACTTTAAGAAAGAGAGGAATGCCCTTATCCCTGTTTTGTGGTGGTCTCATCCATCAGCCAAATAACCTCTTGTAAAAAAAAAAATAAAATAGGGCTTCCTTGGTCTCTTTCTCCATTTTGGTTCTATAGCCCATCAGCTAAGGAAGAGAAATCCATAATCCTATTGTTGCTGCATAAATAATCTCTCTATTGAGACGGGAAATCCTCCTCCAGTGCAACACCATGACAGCACAGCACACACAACCCCAAGTTGTTTGCAAGATGCTTTGGAAAGAGATTTGAGCTATCCCAAACCCAGGGCAGCTTATTTTATCAGGAGATTATCTGGCCTTTGCTGCCTCATGTCCACTCCAGCCCCAATTTCCCTGGCAAAAGAACTAACTCTGACACCTTAAAGAGATACAGGCTTGCTTTTCATAACTCATTGTACCTTCAGATATGAAGCAGCCTGAAGGATGTTGTGTTTGAAAACGGGGCTCCTAAACCAGCAAATGCTTTGAAAACTACTTGTTCATTGCTCACGAGCAAATCGATGTGCATGCTTCCTGCACCCATGGGTCCACGCTAAAGAAGACAAATGTAAGGCAGGAGATGGGGACCGTTACCTTCAGCTTGGGCAGTCGCTTGATAGTTTTCAGGGGCCTCAAGACTCGTAGCACACGAAGAGACTTGATCGTCTTGATATCCCGGCCCTTGTTGGTCCTATCACATCAGAGGGAGGCACACGCACCGAAAAATGAAACAGAGACACTAATCTTGCAGCCCCAGGGCTAGATTGTCTGCGGGTTTCAACTGATGACAACCTCCTGCCTTCCTGCACACGTAAGGACAGGAACAGGGGGCCCACAAACGTGCGACTGCTGAGTGCTCTGCCCACCTAGATGAGTCTCCTCCAGCACATGCATTGATGGGTGGTAGAGATGAAAAAGAAACAGTTCTCTCCTCCTCAGGATTAGCACCTTTCCCCTTCGCTGGGAAGCAGCAACCTTAACAAATCCCCTCATTGTGGGAAGCATTGCGATGCCAGGTCTCCTCTCCTTGAGCAAGGGCACTCTGCCTTCTCCCATGTCATGCTGCTCAACAGGTTAAGGAGGTTTGCTTCCCTGCTGTAGGTACATGCTGTTTGCAGATGGGGCTTGCAAAAGGCCACCACCATTGCAAATTCTTTTGTACCATTATTACTGGTTGCAAGAAATTCATAACAAAATGAGGGAAATGCACTCAATGGGCTGTACATGCAGGTGTCTCACAATGTCTTTTCCATTCCAGTTTAAACTCAAGATTCATGATCCTTACTTTCACATATGGAATCACCTGCTCTGCGCTTGGTTTGTTCACTCAAATGCTGTCTCTTACAGCTTTCCATCAGTACTATATAACATGGTCAGCCTGGTCATCTATCTCACATACATGTAATACCTCAGCCCTCTCCTCCCTCTCCAGAGCAGGGCTGTACTTGCCTCCACCCCAAGTCAGCTGAGGCAGAGCTTACCAGTAGAATTATTGAGAAAAGCCCCCTCATGACACTATTTATTGAATATGATGATTAATCCCAACCACAATACCATTTTTAAACCTTGTCTTTTAGGCTAGATCCCAGGATGGAACAGAGAGGTCCTGGTAAAGGTCACACAGTTTAGATCCACCAGGCATCCTCAAAAAACATCAAGGAAATGACTTACAACAACAGATGCTCCAGATTACATAGCTCCTTTGTGAGGGTTAATGCAACAAGGAGCACAATATTGAGCATAATCATGAAGAGAAGTAAACAAACCACTAATTCATAGTCCTCCCTAGGAGCACAGCCTCACAAATTCATGAGAAGCAATTGTACCAACAGGACTCACTTTGCACCTCATGGCTCCTGTTCTGCTCAGTATCAGGGCTTGGGTAGATGGCTGACACATATGACTCAGGGCTGGGGCAAGGATTTGAGTGCTCAGTTGGTGCAAGCTGCCATCAAGGACAATTAAACTGCAGCATTAAACTGCAGTACTTTAGATATGACAAGGAGGGAACTCTTCAGACTTCAGGAAACCTCCTGTGGATTTGTTTGCTCAGTCTACAACCAAGCCTGAGCTCTCCCCAGACCCCTGAGCTCGGCATGGACCACATCCTATGTGTCCCTATGGTACTTCAGTGCTGGAAAAGCCCCCACTAGGGCAGAGCACTCTGCTCTGAGATGGACACTTTTCCTGTGCCCTGCTCCCCTGGGTGTGCTTCACACCATCTCTGTGTACCAGACAGACACTGAAATCTGCAATGAAAGCACCTTCCTCTGAAGGCAAGAAATTGCTTGCTTGCAAAGAAAATCCCACCTGCACTTTCCCAGAGCACACCACCTTTAATGCATCCCAGGGCATACAGGGATGCATGCAGAGCAGCGTACTCCAACCTCTGCAAACGCAGCCCAGGTTTTGGACAGACATCCGCGTGCACCCATCCCCTCAGGGCAGCACCCCACAGTGACATGACTGGCATAGTTACCCCAAAGCATTCCTGTCGGCGATCCAGCCCAGCAGCCACCAAACAGCACCAGCAGAGAGAGGGAAAAAGAGAGAGGAGAGGAAGAAGGTAAGAAAAGCATCAGTGGAGCTGCATGGGGATGACTGCAATCTCTCCAGCACAGGGACCCTGTGGCAGCCCTCACTGCCCCATGTGTAGTTTGAAAGGCACGATGAGTAGACCACCCTTGTGTCCTCCAGGATGGGGCTTATCTGCTGGGAGGGACTCACCAGCAAGCCTTGAGCCTCTGCCCACCCTGCTGGAGGTTTTGGGGAAGGGGCACATAGCGAAAACCCTGCTGGGAAAGGAACCCGCAGTTGTGGGACAGTGGGTAACAGCAGGCAGGTGCATGGTGCTCCTCAGCCAGGAGGTGGGGAGAGACCTTGTGGCTCAGCCCCAACCAGCCAAAGGCAGGTGGGAACCTACCTGCAAGGCCACAGTAGTTCCCATTCAAACAGGCTAACTCTGCTAAATCACCTCCATCAAGAAATCCACTGATTAAGAGCCTGAGCTGCAGTGCAGGATCTTCTGCAACCCAGCAAGACATCCGTTTGAACAAGGCAAGGTGGTCTACAAGGTCCCTTTCTGGAAACAAACCTCTGTCCCTTGCTTGAACTGAGTCCCTGCCACATGCACGCAGAGTGATCAGCACTGTCTGTAAAGCCTAAAAAGTAAAATATTTCTTAAAAACACAAAAATAACCCTTGACTCTGGCTGTATGTTAGTGAAACAGATGGAAGATGTGTTGAAAAGGCAACAGTTTAACTTTGTAGCACTTCCGTGATGGGATATCAGACCACTGTCCTGACCAGCCTCACCCCAGATTACTTTGCAGTAGGCAGGGGTCATTCTTGCTTCCAGTTCCTGGTGCTGACGGGCACAAGGAAATGCTGCTTGGCAAGGAAAGAGGCCCCTTTGCTGGGTACCTCTGTATGGAGAAACATCTGCCCTAGCTCAGCAGGTAAGACAATGAGGGCTACACACCGACCACTTAACCTTTCCACCACTCAGCCTTTTCCAGTGCTGCAAGTCCACAGGTATAGGCATCACCTATACCTGCTGCCTCTCAGCAGCTCTGCAAAGCTGCAAGTAAGCGCCACTCCTCTGCGCAATGGTGTCATGGGAGACAAAAGCGAGCAAGGTCTTTAGTTATGGCTCTGGTTATTTCAGCTAATTTAATTTGAACTCTTTGGAGATTTATGGTTTTATACTGAGCTTTTTATTTAGGCTGTGTTTGGATTGACATATTAGTTTTCTACGTGGAGAGCTACAGATGAGCCAAGTTGGTCTCTCGCTCAGGATGTATGGGCTCCAAGGAGGCAGTGGACAAGCTACTACAGCGCACGAAGAGATGGCTTTATGGGTGGACACCTGCTTATTTCCGATTTTGATGTGACACTGAGAGCCAGCAGATGATGGTGGTGCCACTGGATGAGCTCAGAGACCTCGTGCTGTGCCCATGGCTACCCAGGACCACTGTGGGAAAACCAAACCACAGAGGGAGGCAAAAGGGGCAGAAAACCCTAACAGTATGGCATGTCCCAGCAATACTTCTACCAGGAAGTACTTCTACCATGTCACCAGCTGCTCTCAACCACATAATCATTGCAGCCACCCTGTGGGCATTGCTTTGCCCACTGTGCTGGGTGGAGGCAAGGAGGGGGAAAGAGAGGACACTTAGCCCATCCCAGCCCCATATCAAACTGCTCACGGAGGGAGAAGAAAAGGAGATGATTCAAACATCACCACCAGTTTTCCTCTTGAAACCAAGAAGGAGGGAAAGAAGGAGCGAGGAAGAGCGATGGGCTGAGACATGTATAACTGGAGAACATCCTGCAGCTCCGCAGCAGTGATAGGCTGCCAAGGGGAGAGGCAGGTGTTCTTATAAATGCTTTATAATGTATAAACCCATCAGAAATCACTGCAGTTCCTTTGTTCCACTCACCCCAAAACCATGAAATCATCTCCAGCAGAAGCCACCATTGGATGTGGGGGACAGGGAAAATGCTGCAGGTTTACATTATAAAGAGCCCTCATCTATGACACAAGCAACTCGGTATCTAGCTGGCTATGGCTGCAAGAGTGAGCAGGCAACATAGATTCTTGCTGCATTGCCATAGCCAGTGGTGGTGCTCACCCTCAAGAATTCAGCTGCCCTGTGCTCAAAGGGACCTGTCCTTCCCTTGGAAGGCTGGGAGGCAAACAGGTGGCAAGCAGAACTGGAAAGGGCACAGCAGCTTCCCCACATGCTCAGCACTGGAACATGGGGACCCTGCCAGCTCCAGCAGCCACCCCAGGAACTGTGCCACCTTTGTGGGGTTGGGGCAAGAGAACAGTAAGATAACAGATTATGGTACTGTTAGCAGTGGTAAGGACATCCATCCACCCAGGAGCAGGCTGAGGCATCAACCAATGGACCTCTACCTAAGACTTTCCTTCCAGCCTTTGAAGGCTCCCTTGTCCTCCTGAAATTTCTCAAACCACCCAGTGCATCTTAAAGCTGCTGATGCCCTTGAGCGTGCCCCCCACACACCTTGGCATGCTCTGAGGGGCTTTCCTGGCAAAGGGAGGCTCAGCCAGACCCTGGAGATGTTCAATCCATCCTGGGTGGCTCAGAGCAATGTCCCCAGCTGGCAAACCTACCCCATGGTCCTTCCCCATGCCGGAGTCTGCGGTGAGCCTCCCTCCTTGCCCAGGGGCTGGTTCACCCCTGTGCTGAGCAACCTGAATTCTCCCATGCTCCTCCCAAGGAGAGAGCAGCAGCAGAAAGCACCAGGAGAGTAAGTGGGTGAGAAAAATGCGAAGGGTGAGAAAGGCGAGAAAGGCGAGAAAGGCAAAAGCAATGAGCCAGGAAAGGTGCAAGTGGGTAAGAGCAAGGGAAAGGAGCTGCCACCTGGCCTTGGGTGAGGTGGGAGGGATGGATTATGGGCTGTAATCCATCCAGTGATCTTGGGGCTTGGACTCAGCCACCCCAAGAGCCTCACACAGTACCTGAGCTGTGGACAAGGACAGGGCTCCAATCCCTCTCACCAGCACTAACGTCACCGCCGCCAGTGTCAAAAGCACAAAGAGAGAACAACAGCGTGACAAAGGAGTGTGAGCCTCTCTTCTCCTCAGGCACTAATGAGGAATAACAGCCCTTGGGACCAGGGGGTGCCCACTTATCTGAAAGCATCACATTGGCACTCACTCTCTGGGTACCAGCACGTTCCTCCCTGCACTCTCACTGTACCACCTGTCCAATCAGCAGCATGGAGGAGGGCAGAGCAGCATGAAACTCATCCCTGGATGTTCCTGCTCTTCATGGCATGGGCACTAGAGACATCAAGCCATTCTGCAGAGGAAGACCGGCAGATGCCACAAGCTTGGTACCAGTGCCAAACTGCAAGGCGATGGTCAACAGGGACATACCGCAGAGCAAGCACTCTGCCCTCACTATGACACTGCAGAGGATGCAGGCACAAACCCCACTAGCTGCATCCCCATCCCTGCAGGTCTCCAGGGCAATGCTCTCTCCCCAGAGCAGAGGAGAAGTCACCAGCTGGGCAGGACCATTTTCAGCACAAACATCTTCAGAGGGGAGCTCCACCTCATAGGCTGCTGCTTTCACTGCCTGTGCACCCCAGGACACATAGCAGGTGTGTAACTTTGCCACCCTCAGGTCTTTTTACCTCTCTAACAGTCCCTTCTGTGCTCTTTCAAGTCGTCTTTCACCACCAACCTCCTAGCATCTGCACCTTGCCTTGCCTCGTCCCCTCCCTGCTTGCTCACCAGCATTTGACAAACAAGGAGAAATATATCTCTGGAGCAGCCACGCACCAGGAGCCATCCCAGAAGCAGAGCAGAAGGGTGCAGAGAAATAAAAACAAAAATCAGGGTCTAGCAGCCGTAACACACAGTTGCATCCTCCTCCCACCCCAGCCAAGGGAAGGCAGGGAGCCGACAACAACAGCCACTTACGCCAAGGCAAAAGCCACCAGTGCTCCCACCACAACGATGAAATCCAGGATGTTCCAGAGGTCTCGAAAGTAGGAGCCATCCTGCAGGATCAAGCCCTGATCAATCATCTGGAGAAGAAACAGTGAGAAAAACAGGCAGGGAATAAGCAGCTTGGCCATGAGGTGGAAGCAGCTGCAGGCAGGACATGATGCGGGACAGGGACACGGATGGGGAGCAGCAGGCCTGTCCTCCGTGCACCTTGGGTATATAGCAGGGAGCATCAAATTAAAAGATGAAAATATAAAGAACATCGTATTCTGTGGGAGCCTGAAGGCTGATAAAAGCAGTGCTGAGCACTCTTGACTCCCACTGTTAAGTACCAGGCTTTAGGTCCACCATAGAATCATAGAATAATAGAATCAGCTAGGTAGAAAAAGACCTTTAAGATCATCAAGCCCAACCATTACCCCAGGACTACCAAGCCACCACTAAACCAAGTCTCTAAGGGCAAACTGATCTCCCCTCAGGATCTCCCTTCATGGCTGCCCCTCATAATCTCCAGTCACAACACCTCTCATCTGCCCCCTCATAGTGGCCCACACTATATAGCTGATACTCTACCCCTCACAGCCCATGGCTGCCCTTCATTCCCCAGGCTGCCCCTGCTCTCCCTTCACGATCTCCCCTCATGGCCGCCACCCCTGCTCTCCCTTCACGATCTCCTCTCAGGGCCGCCACCCCTGCTCTCCCTTCATGATCTCTCCTCATGGCCGCCACCCCTGCTCTCCCCTAAGGATCTCCTCTCACAGCCACCCCTGCTCTCCCCTAAGGATCTCCCCTCACGGCTGCCCCTGCTCCCCCATCAGGATGTCCCCTCACCCCTCATGGCTGCCTCTCTTGTCCCCTCACCATCTCCCCTCTCCACTTCCCACTGACTGACATCCCTGACGTGCCCTGGCACTGGTGGGAATGGCATATGCCCTCCCCACCCACCCACCGTGACTCCAAAATCATCAAATTTAGGACCAGAACTGAAAAACTGAGCTATTTCCCACTCGCTGCACAGATACTGCAGGACTTGGCACCTCCAGCATAGCCAGCCTGCAAGGGCTCTTACCTTGATAACCATCTCAAAGGTGAAAACACCGGTGAAGACATAGTCAAAATACCTCAGGACCTGCAGAGAGAGGGCATAGGTACTCTGCAGCTGCTGCCAAGCAAACAGGCTTGCTTGTGCCCACCCAGAACGCATCACCACCCTGCATCGGGGCCTGCCTTGCTCAGGCGCAGATGGAGGGTTGGCTTGCTTGCCCCACATCCAGCCTGTTCTCTAAGAGTTCAGGACAGCCATAAATCCAGCCTGTGTAGGTGGAAGGGAAACATTTCCTGTGTATAGTGCAAACAGCTCTGAAATTTGTGAGCCAGAATCATGCTCACCCATACCAGAGCCTGCGCATGTCAGTATCTCCCCAGTTACTACCTTATTGTCAACAAGGTGCCCTGGTCTGCTCCCCAGGCTCCAAACCCCACATGTGGGAGACTGAGAGCAATTTTCAGGGTTTATAAAGGAAGGTGTTGGGAAAGAAGTCAGATCCCATGGTGCTGCGCAGGTGCTGCCACTGGCTGCCGTGAGCTATGTCTCACATGTGCCCCACCACAGAAGCTAAAATCCTACAAGACTTCTGCCTGCACTGCTTGCATTATGGGGAGAATGGGGGAGGTCTGCAATCACTTTGTTGCGGTCGGAGTTGGTGAGGACGGGATCCTCTGCTGCAAGGGCGATGCTGCTGGCAGCAATCACCAGGAGGATGCACATCTCGAAGTAGCGCAGGTTCACGATGTAGTGGCAAGCCCTCCGCACCCTGCAGGGAGAAAGACCAACTTGTGAGCCCCTGGCATGCCTCAGGCATAGCCCACGTGCAAAATCCACCCCACATCACTGGCTTTCAGGGCAGGGCAGGGCAGCAAAGACTAAGGAGAAAAACAAGAGAGCCCAAGAGTACCTTGGGCTCAATGACCTCTTTGCTTGGCTGTCCCAGGCCCCCAGGCAACCCATGGCCAGCCAGGGATAGTCCCTGAGAAATTGGGATACTTATTCTTCCAGGCTGTTGGAGCTGGGCAAGAGCTACGGGGGAGCAGAAAACTGCAGGTAAATGTAACAAGCGCTGAATAAAAATCACACCTAACTATCAGCAGTTGGGAGAGAAAACTAGGACCGTGGCTGGCACAGAGGGAGAGCACTGCTGGGGCTTGAGGAACGCCATGCCTGCTTATCCAGGCTGTTTGGGAGCTATCCAACCCCTTTCTCAAGGGGATTCCCTGTTTTCAGTGATGTCTAGGGGCCTTCCCCTTGCAACCCTCCCCAGCCACAGGCTCCTACAGTCCAAAACAATTTCTCACGGGTTGGTGGTGCTGAAGATGAACATGGAGCTGTGTGGCACCATCGCTTTGCCTGTCTCGCTTTTCTCCTTCTTTCGCTTCTTCTTCTCCATCTCTTCCTCGTCCTCTTTGGTCTCAGCCTCCTTTAAGGGGCTGGCTTCACCATCTGTCTTGTTGCTAACTGCAAGGAAGTGAGAGCCTTTGCCCAGCCTTGTACCCAGACAGCACCCTGGGGTGTCACTGCCACCTGGGCACATGCAACCCCCCTTGTTTCTGCTTTGCGTCCCCATGCCATTAGGGGAAGAGGGACCAGAAGGGAAGAAAAGACACAAGCTGCCAGGATGAAGCAGATGAAAGGGGTTTTAACAAGGCCAGCTTTCACAGTGCTGTTTAATTAATAACACTGTTTAAAGCACTCACCTTGACAGCAAGGATGCTGTTAAGGAGTTTGAGTGGCAGCAAGCTGGGTGGAGGCTGTGAATGTGTTAGGAAAAACAGGGGATGCATGTGCTTTTCCCAGGCAGAAAGAAGCGGGAAGGAGGGATCAGGCGAAGGGGTGGGTAGCAAGGGGGTAAGAAAAGGAGAAGCTCCCCAGGGGATGCTGGCGCATAAGCACTGTGCTGCAAAACTGGGGTGCTGGAGGGAGGTGCTGCAAGGAGCAGTAAGGAAAGCTCCCCATTTGATGGACGCGGATAGGAAAAGCTGTGCAAACAGCTTTCATCCCCGCAGGGTCCCTGAGAGGTGGGAGAGGGACTCAGGAAAGAGAGATGGGTCCTCACTCTGTACCACAGTGGAGTCGTGGACATCAATCATGATGGTGGTGCTCTCCGTGGCCTTCTCAGTGGTGGGGGTTATGGAGGAGAGGTCAGGCTCGCTCCGGCTGATGGTGCGGCTGGCCTCCAGCAGCGCTTGCTCACTGGTGTCCAGGCTGCTGCAGTCCTGCTCCATGAGGCTGCCCATCTTCCCCCGGGAGGGCTCAGGTGCCACTTGTGGGGGGACACCCTCCTCAGTGGTCCCAACCAACTCAGCATCACTGGCAGAGACCCCATTTGTCCTGCAGGATGGATGTGGGAGAAAAAGAGGTGCATGAAGATAAGGGGAGAAGATAAGAAGCTGTAGGAACTGCAAAATGCCCTCCCTGGGTACCAACCTGATGGGCTCCCCGCTCGCTGCTGTCTCCCCCTGAATCAGCGCCTCTGCTGCAGCAATGTCCCCACACTGGTCCCCATCCTGCACCCCTTCCGTGGCGCTGGCCTCCTCCAGACTCATCTCCTGGCTGGCTGAGCGGCTCCCCAGGGTGCCAGCTGGGTCCTTCCCCTCCATCCGGGCTCTGCGGTGCCGGCTGCGCCGCTGGCTCTGCCTCATCCTCGCCCTGTCCTCGATGCCACCTCCTGCCCCATCCTGATCGCCCAGCTCACAGTTCCCATGGCACGATTTCTGGTGCCATGGCTCCTTGTCTCTCTTGGCCCGGGGCGATGGGCTCCTCCTGTCCTCACC